CGACATGTACACGCTGCTATATTTAAAACAGAGAACCAACAAGGACCTACTGCATAGCACAGGGACCTCTGCTCAATATTCTGTAGTAACCTAAATGGGACAAAAATCTGTAAAAGAACAGATACATAGGCATGTATAACTGAATCACTTTGCAATACATTTTTTTTTTTTTTTAACATTTATTTATTTGTCTGCCCTGGGTCCTAGTTGTGGTATGTGGGATCTTTGACCTTTAGTTGTGGCACGCAGGATCTAGTTCCCTGGCCAGGAATAACCTGGGCCCCCTGCATCGGGAGCTTGGAGTCTCAGGCACTGGACCACCAGGGAAGCCCCTGGCTGAGATTCTTACTCTGTGAGATAGGAGGCCAATGGATTATCTTCAAGCTTTCTCATTTCTGACGGTCCAGCCTGGGATCTCTGGGGTCAGCAAAGCCTTAAGGTAGGGGAGGAGAGATTCCATCCATGACCTGTCCTTCCCCACCTGGCCCCCGTCTCCAGCTATATGATGGTCTTTGCATTTCTCCAAACAACTGTGTGTCATTCTCTTTGTCCCCTCTTGGTCTTCATATATACTGTTTTCTTGGCTCAGAACACTCTTTCCCACTTTTCTTTACTCATTCTTCAGGTACATTTTCCCTCTGTGATTTGTGATACAGTGATTTCTGCCACAGAGCTTCCAAAACCCTTGAAATTTCCTAAGTGAGCACAATAAAGACGTCTTCCATTATGTTAGTAAGGGGACCTCTGGAAAGCTCCTAGGTCACCTAAGGATGGGAGCTGGTTGCCAGGGGAGTCAATAATTTGATTAGAGGGTTGGAAATTTCCATCCCACCTCCCTGACCTCTGGGGAGGGGACGGAGGAGAGGAGCTGGAAGTTGAGTTCAGTCATCAATGACCAGTAATTTAATTAATCATGCTTATGTGATGAAACCTCCATAAAACCCTGAAAGGTTAGGATTTGGAGAGCTTCCGGGTTGGTGAACACGTGGAGGTTTGGCAAGACTGGTGTGCCTGGAGGGAGCACAGAAGCTCCTTGCCCTTTCTCTGTGTGTGTCTTCCATCTGGCTGTTCCTGAGTTATATCCTCTTATCATAAACCAGTGAGCTACTAGCTAAAGTGTTTATCTGAGGTCTGTGAGCCTTTCTAGCCAACTGAATCCAAGGTATGGTCCTTTGAAACTGCTAATCTGTAACAGGTTAGTTCAGAAGGACAAGTGAAAATCTGGGCTGGTTCCTGGCATCTGAAGTGGAGGTGGGAGTTAGTATTGTAGGATTCCTGTGAAATCTGATGCTATCTCTGGGTAGGTAGTGTCAGAATTAAGTTGAGTTTTAGGATACCCAGCTGGTTTTAGAGAATTGCTTGGACATGTGGGGACTCCTTCACACACACGTACATATACACATTGGAATTGAACGTCAGATCCTTTTAGACTTCTTTCTTGCTCACTACCTTCTCCCAAGAAGGTGAGGATTAGGTGTGCCTGCCAAGTGCTGCTGTAACAACCTTATCTCAGGGACCTCCCTGGAGGTTTAGTGGTTAAGACCGCATTCCCAATGTGGAGAGCTCGAGTTCAGTTCCTATCTGGAACTGAACACAGTCCCATGTGCTGTGAGGCCAAAAAGTAAAAAATAAATAAAATAAAAAATGAAAGGACAGATTACATATGTGTGCATAGTTATGCATGCATTAGAAAAATCATAATATAATCTTTAAAAAAATTATCTGAGCCTTTGACACCATCATTTACTCACCAGGCTGCCCTGCTAGACTGTGAGTGCCATAAAGGCAGGAACTTGGGCTGATCTGTTCGCTCCTGTGTCCCAGGCCCAGCAGAGAGCCCGACTCATACCTTCCCCTTAGCCAGGACTTGTTGAGTGAAGGCGTGGATGCTGGGCTGGCCTGTGGAAGGGGGAGACGGGGGTCAGAGACCAGGCCAGGCTGACAAGAGCAGAGTCAGTGGCCCTTCCCCTGTGATAGGACCTCCATGGGGCCATGCTGCCCATCGCCCCTAAATGTGTTTGCTGCTGGTCCCTGTTCTAATGCTTGGAGAGTGCGAAGTGAGCTCTCGTGAGACACTCAGGCTTGTGGGGGAGTGGCAGTTCTGGGCTCTATATTTTTGCCACCTAAAGGGTGACAGTCTACTTCAGGGAAATCCTGTCCGGGAGGAGGAGTAAGCCCAGCCTGTCTTTGCATCGGCTGAGCACGTGTGGTCGGGCTGTTAGTCCTGGTCTTGGTATAGCTGCTTGCATCTGAAACCCCATTCTTCTTTCAGTGGGACTTGTTGGCTGAATTTACAAATTTAAATTTACTTGATTTTACTATCTGTCCATTTCTAATACTTTGGCTAATACCATTTGCGTGATGCTCCTTTAACCTCCTAGTTTTTATTGTACTTGTCAGTCTGTTATTGGATAGGGGAGGATCAGGGGAGTTCACACACAACAGGAAGACCAGCTGAAGTGGGGAGCCCTCAGTCATCATTTGGGGGCATTTGGTGGAGACCCCAGAGAGGTCAGATCGTAGTGCATGCTCAGTTGTGTCCGACTCTCTGTGACCCCATGGACTATAACCCGCCAGGGTCCTCTGTCCATGGTGTTTCCCAGGTAAGAATACTGGAGTGGGTTGCCATGCCCCTCTCTAGGGAATCTTCCCGACTCAGGGATTGAACGTGCATCTCCTGAGTTGCAAGCATTGCAGGTGGATTCTTTACAATTGAGCTACCAGGGAAGCTTAGGTTAAAAATTTCTGGATAATTTTAAACTAATTTGATCTTATTTATTGAATGTTATTTTATATTCCTTTTAACTCAACCCAGCAGGATATTTTTAGCTAAATTTTGCCCTTATTGAAATATACTCTAAATGTACATATTTCTTTTCTTAGCCATTTAGAAAATGTATCAAAATTATCTAGTATTTCCTTTTGCTCTTTATATTTTATGACATTTCTGTTTGGTGTGTCCTCTAGTCCATTGTCTAGCACTCACAGCTGTGAAAGGTGAGAATCGGCGATGTCAGGGACGGAGTGGGTGGATCCACAGCAGCGATGGGCTCAATCAAGGGTTGGTTGGTCCTTCTCCCTGTGCTGACAATCTATGGCCATGCGCTTCCTTTGCTGCCCTCTTCCCCACTCATATTCAAAGGAGGTCCTTCTTGCTGTTGTTAAAGGAGAACTGATATTTGCATCATCAGGAAAAAGAGTATCTGAAAGTAAATCCCACTTTTAGCCAATCAGATAATTTGGGAAATTCGCAGGACAAATGATATGGGTCAGAGGTTATTAAGACTGGCCTCAAATCCTGCTCAGGGGAGTTGAATGATGTCATCGTCTCGCTCTCGAATAAACCAGGGCTTCCCTAAACCACCAACCAGTCTCTGAGCATCTCTCAGCCTTTACAGAGAATGGATGCTTCAGAAGATGTTGGGGTGACGGTCTGCAACTCAGCATCCTAAGACTGCCCAAGAAAATACCCAGGGGGCCTTGAAGGTCCTGTTAAGAATAGGATGGAAGCATAATAGAGGGACAATAGCCAAATCTGGAATTATTGTTTGTTGACCTACTTACAGGATTAACCTAAGTACATTGATTCGCCTTCTTTCTGGTCAGGAATTCAAAAGCTCGGTTGTCAAGTGCTCTTAGAAGGACCAGTTCTTGTCACATGTGCAGTATGGCCACTGACTCATGGAGGGAGGCAGGCAGTGGGAAAGTCAGGTCAGTCTTGGAAGGAAAAGAAACTGCTCTGGAAAGGTTTATCTCTTTCTTCTCCTTGTTATGTAAGATGTGGTTTCCCCAGAGAAGCAATATGCTAAGTAAGAAGTTAGGGCCCCAACCCACAGAAGCTTATTTTAATCCGCATTTTTGCTGACTATATTCAATTTGATTTAATTCAAATTAACAAGGTAGAGTTGTTTTTTTTTTTTTTCTCTTTCCTACCAGAAAGGGGAAATAGGCTTTGAGAGTGACCCATATGGTACAACTGAGAGTTTTCACTGAGCAAGGCAGAGTGAATATGTGTGCTGGGCGGAGAGTGGAGTGGAATGTTGAATAAAATGTGGCTCCTGCCCTCGAAAATCTCACACTGTGTTTGGAGAGGCAGATACATGCTCAACTAATACACACAATAATAATGGTGGAGGTGTAATCAGACCAGAGAATAATGGAAGTGTTAGTTCTGAGGGGGAAAATCTACAGGATTGTGGAAGATGTGGGAGCTGCCGCTTGACGGCTTTTTGGGGGCTAAGCAGCAGAGGGACCAAGACAGGGCGAGCATCTAAGGGAGAGAAAATCATGGGGGTGAAGACGGGGCGGTCAGCGGCCGGCAGAGTCAGGGAACAGCCAAGGAGCTGTTGTGGAGGATGGCAGGTGGAGTGGAGGAGCAGAGGGACAGGCGGGTCTTTGTGAGGTGGTCTGATCACTTACATAGAAGGTAACTGTCCGTACTTTTCATGTTCAATTGCAGGTAATTTTCAAAAAGCTTAATTTTTCTAAACAGATGTGCTCTTGTCTTAGACTGGTGGTGTCTCACGTTCAATAATTCATTACCATGAAAAATAAGAAGGTGATTAATTGCAAAGTATTTGTTATATTTAACTTTCTAAGGATAGATTTGTCAAAGAGAAGCAAGCATAGGAGATGTTTTGATAACTTTGTCTTCTTCTGGAGCTCTGTACCTTATTTTGGGTAAAGCGTGCTAAGCCTCATTCTGTCATTGAGGATACCAAGTCTACAGGCTCTAACGTGGGTTCAGGAGGAGGAATAAAGGAGGAAAATGAAGAGAGGATCTCTAATAAGTGTAAGGCCCAAGAATAACTGGTCAAAGGTCACAGAGATCTAATATCGGTGCCCAGCTATTTGTGTGAGTATCTGGATAGTTATCACAAACAAACTTGTTGGGAAGTGTCCATGCGGTGAAGGACCCTATAGGCAGGAAGAAAGCAAAGACATGAGCTCCAGCTCCATGGTGCTTACATGATTTTATGTTACTTGGACAAGAGACTAAATGGAATTCAATTCTTTATTGAGATATTCGGATGAACCAAGCATTTATCCACATTTTTATCTCCAGTTTAATTTTTCCAGTGAGGAACTGAAACATAGAAAACTCATGGATAGAGTCTATTGAATTCCTGAAATTCCAGTTCATTTGAAAGTCACTAATAGGTAAGAATATACATACATATTAAATATATATAAAATATATGGTGAGATACCTTAAGAAAATGCTTCTGACATAGTACAAAGTAATCATTATTGTCTACAGCTGCTCTTCATTTTGGTTGTTCAACATTATGCTCTTGAAGATTGAGACCACTGTCATCTGCTTTTGAGTTACATGCTAGCAGCATCTTAACTGGGGAAATGTCTTATCTTACTCATAGAAATAGTGGCTTTGCTTCATCTCGCTCTTAAAAATACTGCCTTTGGTCCTAACAGGGGACCTTTTTGAAGAAGCATCATTTTGTTTCTTACCCTATTCTTTGCATCTATCTGAGTGAAGGAAAAAAAACAATTTGAGTGTATGATCCATTTACACATTTCTGCCTCCTCACTCTCACCTACTAGGAAATAGTTTATCAATTGTAAATTTTCACCTCTGTGGCAAATGACAAATAATGTGGCTATGTTACCAACAATAGGAAAAAAAAAAACCAACAAAGTAATCCATAATCCTTGATATTTGGCTTGCAGTAAGGAACGGCATGATAAATTATGGTACTTCACTAAAATGTCATATTACACAATTATTAAGTGACAATTAGGGACACTACACAGAAACATGAAAACATATTTGAGATATAACTAAAAGAGAAAAGAAAACGAGGCACAATTACAATATGTAATTGTGCATATGCAGGTAGAGGAGGCCTGGAAGATAATAAACTGAAATGGAAATGTGTGTAGTTCTGTTAGGATAGTGGGTCTGTGGATTTTCAAAAACATTTTATTTAATGTTATAAAATAATAATAAAGCAGCAAATTCACCAAATAAATGATGCTGTAGAAGTAGGAGGGTGATATTCATAAAGAAGTAGAGGTTGGATATAACAAAAGGAAAAATATTTGAAAGAATGCATCTCTTTTCTCTACATTACCAGTTTATGAGTGTTAAGATTCATACTACTGAAAACATTCTCAAAGGAGCTGGTTAGCACGGTTTGGAAGATAGCCTGAACTTAACTGTATCTGGATTTGTTTGTCATGATTGCAGTGGAAACTAAATCTCGAAACAGTTGTTTAAGTAAGCTCCAGCTTGGCTATCTTGGCTGAAATCACACTTCGGATTCAAGAAACAGTGTGGAAAAAGAACCAGTGTATAATATAAATAGGAATATAGAGCAAGAAAAATTCAGTAGAGGGGATTTCAAAAATAAAATGCCTATTTAAAATCAAGTTGAAATGACTATTTGGATTAACAGAAAAGTAAAAGTAACCAATGCTGAGTTAAATTTATATCTCTCTGAAAGCTCTTAGAGGATACCAGGAATAATCCTCATGTTGGTGATGTTCATGTTAATCATTTGCTAGCACTGTTGACGGGAATGAACTGCTCTGTGTTCCTGTAAAGCGCTCAGACCCTTTTCTCTTCTTGTCCACTCTGTTCAAAATAATGACAGTTTTACCCTTAATAGCACTTAACAAGTGTTGACATGGGGCACTAGGCTACCTTGCTTCATGTTAGGCAGGGGTGGATTAACATAAACTGTTAAAGCAAAATTCACACACACAATTACACATTTTATTCTTTCTGGTCAAAGTTAAGCCTCTCAGCTCAACACTTGCACACCATTATTTTAGCATTGCAGAAAATTCCCTCAAATGCCTTCTTAGATAATTTAAGGATCTTAAGTAGGTAGATGGAAGAAGAAACTTAAAATTAAGTTTCTTCTGAAATAGGACTTGAAAGTGTGATAAAATACCTTATCTCTCTAGACTAGTAGCTGACTTTGGATATGGAAAGTGGAGTGTGCGTGTGTGTGTGTGTGTGTGTGTGTGTGTGTGTGTGTGTGTGTATGATATGAAGGAGTTTGAATTGAAGAAATCAGCAAGTAACTTTTCCAAATCCCAAACCTGACCTTACAGCCATCTCTTTTCAGACCCTGTGTAGGATTTGCTGAGTCTGTGTGAACACCTCTCTCTGATGTCTTGCTCTCTCCTCACCTCTAAAGATGTCCACAAAGACAAATAAATTAGAGCAACTTTTTATTCCTTAGAGTTATCCAATAATTTTTACCTTCCTAGAAACATGGTTTCCATCTTTCAAAATGCTTTAGACTTATTAAGAGGCATTACAATTTTAGGAAATGATTTTTCCTCCATTCCAAATCCAAAGTAAATTACATTTAGTGCAAAGATATGTATTTGATTATTTGGGGTTATACCAATATTGAAAATTTTCTCCTGAAAAATATTTCACTCTTATCATCTTTATTTTATCCCCAGAAGTGCATTTTTTGAATAAATAATATTTAGTAGCAAAACAAATATGCTTTCATACATCTACAAAATTCTTTTGAATAGCAACAAGAGCTAAATCCATGTATCATAATTGTTATTATGGATTGCATAACTTTGGCATGCATTTTGCTGTAAATCATTTCCTGGCAAAATATAAAATGCTTTTGACATAATGCCATAGAATATCCAAACCGGGAATGAACGATAGAACTAATCTAGTGTAAGTAAGTCCCACTTCCCTCATTTCAGGGACAGAGGTGGTAAAATGTGCTCAGGATCACAGATTTCATTTTCCAACAATTAAATATTTCTGATGTTGAATTTGGTTAGAAAATTTTGATTTTAGGGGAATAATTCTCAAGACAAAATAATTGCTACACGTAAAGAATTGCAGAGTTGGACTTGAAATATACAAAAGAGGTATGCCCCAAATTTTTGTCCTCAGTTCCCCTTTTGGGAGGAAGTGGCTGAAACTATACAGTCATTAAAAGCAAATCATTCTCTAAAGGATGCAAAGTTATCCTGATCTTCAAAATGAAATATACCAGCATTTCTACATATAATTTAATTTTTTCTTCAACAGGGATCAAATGGTATTTTGGCTGATTGCCAGTTGAGCAAATGAAAAAGGAAATACATTTTTAGGATCCCACTGTGATTTTTTTTTCCCTCAGCAGCAAAAAATTAAATGAAACAGACCTTTGTCATGTAATGTTCACTGATCAGGAGAACTCAATGAAAACTGGGCTTTAGTTAAATCTAGTGGATTAACTTGTTTCACTGGCATTGACAGTCTTTGGGAGTGTCAAACAAATGTACAAATAAAGACATTTCCAGAAATTTAAACATCAATTATGCATAAATTCTGCAGAAAGTTCAAGACTAATGGTATTGATGTCACAATCTTCACAATTTAAAAGGCATTTAAGAATCATAATTACATATTCCAAAAATGTTAAAGACACTTGTATACATATGTAAAGTCCATTCTGACTTGATGAAAACAAATTCTAATCTATGAAAATATTATATCAAGTCATATTGCACCTGATGAGGAAATTGTACATGATTGACAGTATATGCTAAAAAACACTTCAGATAAAGACCCAGTAAGTCAATACAAATGAAGAGTTTCAGAAGTAACATAGCCATCTAAAAATGTTAGTTTTTCACATAACTGGTCACACTTATTTTACTTTACTAAAAATCCCTGATCTTGTCTGAAGGTAAATAACCATAAAACTCAATTACATGATTCACCTGTCTTTAACTTCCCTTTCTCCAGTAACCATCACACTTTAGGAGGGATGTAGCTATTTTATCTTAATTTTTTTTCTTTCAGCAAATACTAAGTGTGAAAAGCTTTCACTGGACAAAAAAAAAATCATTTCATAGAATGAAGTATTGAATTGTTTTTTCATTCAACTTCTTTAGACCAAAAGCATCTCAATTTCTCTATGAGTAGTCCACATATTGTTTCATGTCTGTTATCTGCAACCCACTCTAGATTTATCTTGCTTTCAGCAGGTGCTGGGTAGCACTTTCTGCCATATTTTACAAAGCATCCAATATCGTTTAAATTGCTTAAAAGCAATTGAAACTGCTTCCTTTCCTACCCACTGCCTCGTCCAGTGTCCTTAACCCTCAGCCTCCTTTCCTGAAACGTGTCCCAAACATGCCTATTTACATGACTCTCACACACCGGGCTTGCACGCCCATCACATACCAGGTCAGTTTCTAACCATGTGAAGGCTGTTGGAGCAGGGCAGTTTCCTTCTGTTGGGAGCCGAGTGTAGTCACGTTTCTATCAACACAGCGACCCTTGTATGCAAAACTTAGACTATGGTCTCGTGGTCCCACCTGCCTCGGCTCTGATTGATGTAACAACAGTATCTGTCATAGGGGCTGTTCTGCTTGTAGGAGCAAACGATGATACTGTCCTGGGGCACGAAGAAGATGCTATCCTCGGGCTCAGGATGCTCAGACCTGTCCCAGGCTGAGCACTTGGCATCCAAGGCACTATAGGTGAGGGAGCTGCCCGAGGGACAATAGCCATCCAAGTATCTGGACTCCTCCCGACGCCCGCTCTGGCCGGGGCTCTGGCATTCTCCTTCCTCCATGGGTGTTGGGGTGGTGATGGAGCTGGCCATAGGCAGCTCGCCCTGCCCTTGGAGGGAAGGCTTCCCCCTGAGGCCCGCCTTCTTAGCCAGCTCATCTGAACTCCCCTTGCCTGACTCCAGGTCTGAAGGGGTCCTCAGCAGTTCCACCACCTCCTTGTCCTTGGGTTTCCGGAAGCAAGGCAACTTTCGGACCCACAGCAGCTCATTCTCCGGCCACTTGGTGCAGCCCTCGGTCTTCCTGGCCAGGGCAATGGCCGCAATGCCTGGCAGGCAGATGGCGGGCCCTATGGCCAGGAGGGGGATGTTTCCCAGAGTCTCTCCTTTCATCCCAGAGACGGTGAACATGAAGCCGAAGACCAGGAAGACACTGACCAGGGCCACAACCAGCCCAGTCCTCGGGTTGATGTCATCGGGCCGCATCTTTCACTCCATCCAGGTTGGCGACTGTCCGCTGACCAAGGAGCAGTGTTTCTCCCTGCTGTCAGAGGCAAAACCGCACCGGGTTAAAAACAAAACAAAACAAAACAAAACAAAACAAAAATATCCTAGTCCATTTCCCACCCACCAAACATCCGTCTTACTCTCTCTGACTCTACTGGCTGTCAGTTTTGGTCTCCTTCTCTATTTCCCCCTCTGTTTCTGTTGCTCTCTCTCTGCCTCTTTCTTACTATTGCGACCCCTGTCTCTCTCTCGGATAGATATCCACCGGTTGGGGTGGCCAAGGTACCTGAGGTTTCCTGCCGTCTCCCGGGAACAGGGAAAAAAGCCAGTCTGAGTCTCCTTAGAAACCTCCACAGCAGCTGTTTCCTCGGCTCTCTCCCTTGCTTCTGGAAGGAAAGCCTGGCTTTCCCCCTTGACTCTACATCCAGGTGGTGCGTCGGTCTCCAGGGCTTTGGGAGCGGAGCGGCGGCGCAGCCCAGCGCCCAGCTCTGCGCGAAGAGCGCCGGGGGCTGGAGGGAGGAAGGACTTAGTCTGGAAAAGAGGGAAAGCGGTGCGCGAGCCTGGCCTGGTTACATCACTTTCAGAGCAAGCTCAGAAACAAGAAGGACGCGCGGGGGCGCGAGGGGGCCAGACCCCAGGGAGAGGCCCCCGGGGCAGAAGAGGCTGCTCTACTTGGGGAGCTTGGAGCAGCCGGAGCTCGTCCCGCCGCTGCTTGGGAGGGCTGAGCAGGGCGGCTGGACCCGCTGCTGTGTCCTGGGAGAGTCCGAGGTGCGAGGTTGCCGCAGGCCGGAGACTGGAACTCGGGCCGGTTTGCCCACGGGGCAGCCGGGGCTCCAAGTCCGCGGTCCGAGGGCCAGAGGTGCCAGCTGGAGATGTCCCCCGGGGACCTGGATCCTTCTCCAGTTGCAGATGTGGGTGACCCGATGCGCCCTGGAGCAGCTCCCAGGAGGCTCCCCTAGCGCCTGTCTCAGAACGTCGAGGCTCTGGGGCTCTGCGGGCTGCACTTCTCGGGGTCCTGCGGCCCGCGACAGCTCTGTCTTCGGGCGCTGAGCGGCAGCGGCGCACAACAGCGCTCGAGTAGCGAAGCGCGCCGGGGTCGCGCCCAGGCTGAGTGAGTCAGTGGTCAGCCGGGCCTTGCTCAAGCCTTGGGGGCGTCACCAGAGTCCTTCCCCCGCCCCCAACCCGGGTCTTACAGCCCTGGGACCTGCAGGGGGTGCCTTGGAGCCCAGATCCCACTCTGACACGGCCGTGGTGCCAGCCACGCGGCCTGGGTCAAAGGAGATGGGCTTTCCAGCCCCGGCTCTCCATCCCCCTGCACTTGGCACCCAACAGCCAGCTAGCGAGGAGAAGGAGGGGCCTTGACTCGCGGATCAGCCCGGCCAGCAGCTGCAGCTTTGGGCGATTCTCCCCTCTTTCGCCCACGCTGGTGTTGACACCCTGCTTCCTCCCCACCGGCGCACGGGCTGGATTCCTCTGGCCCCGGGGGCAAGACTGGCTTTGGCTGGGGTTCTTCAACAAGGCTGCTCATTTAGGGTAGATGGGGGATAGCGAGAGAAGCCAGACGGAGAAGGGCGGAGTCGCAAGAGGGAGGGGATGGGGTAGTATTTTTCATCAAGGCCGTGCTTTGGTGGAAAGAATTTTGACCTCCAGGACTTCTTCTCCCCACTTAAATTAACCATGTATTCTTGGGCAAGTGACTTACCTGCTTTGAGAATCAGTTGATGCATCTGTAAAATGAAAATATTACTATCAAATATGTGAACAAACTCTCTGAGGACTAAATAAATGTAAAGTTCCTCCGGCGATGCTTGGTACATGGTTCTAATTTACAAAGTGGATGGAATGTATACTTGCTTCTGTGTGTGTGTGTGTGTGTGTGTGTGTGTGTGTGTGTATGTGCACGCATAGTCGCAGCAGGCTCTCTGTGACTCCATGGACTGTAGCCCACCAGCCACCTCTGTCCATGGGATTCTCCAGGCCAGAATACTGTAGTGGGTTACCATGCCCTCCTCCGGGGCATCTTCCCAACCCAGGGATCAAACCCAGGTCTCCCCCATTACAGGCAGATACTTTTTCGTCTGCACCACAAGGGAGGCCCAAGAACACTGGAGTGGGTAGTCTATCCCTTCTCCAGGGGATCTTCCTGACCTGATCTTCCTGACAGGAATCCAACTGGGGTCTCCTACCTTGCAGGCAGATTGTTTACCAGCTTAGCTACCAAGGAAGCCCATATACTTGCTTGGGCTGTGCTGTGCTTGGTCGCTTAGTCGTGTCTGATTCTTTGTGACCCCATGGACTGTAGCCCACCAGGCATCTCTGTCCATGGGGTTTCTCCGGGCAACAATACTGGAGTGGGTTGCCATGCCCTCCTCCAGGGGATCTTCCCAACCCAGGGATCAAACTCAGGTTCTCTGGCATTGCAGGGGGATTCTTCTGTCTGGGCCACCAGGGAAGCCCATATTTCTTAGCACGTGATGATCAATAAAAGGCAGGAGCCAAGTCGTTAAGAGCCTGTCTGGGGGCCTAAGGACCTTTGACTCTAAGCAGTGAAGAATGGAGGCAGTATTTGAAGCAGGGATCAACGTAAACTATTCCATGTTTGACAGACAGTGACAGTAGGTTAGAGGACAGGTTGGAAGGGGTTGAGGGGTAAACAAGGAGACCTGTAGGAGGACAGTTCAATAAGCCAGGCGAGACACGGTAGGGATCTGAACAATGCAGGGCTAGTAGGGGTGGTTAGGAGAAAGTGAATTTGAAAGACATTTAAGGCTATAATCAAGGATCAAAGAAAGTAAGATGGTGATTGGAGTGCAAGGCTGACTCCCAGGTTTCCAGCTCTTTCCACTGAGTGGATCAGGAATCAGTCTCAGTTTTCCACTCCAGTATCTACTCTTCCTCACTAGGCAGCTGCTGTACCTCTGGCACAGAATCATTATTTTGGACCGAAAGAAGGAAGAAAGGGAGAAAGGCAAAGAGCAAAAGTGAGCCAGCTCACCATTTGCATCAGGAAAGTAATTGTTTTCCTGGCAGCTGCACCAAATAGATAGACATCATATGAAGAACCCTATCATAGCTCTCTCATAGCTCACTGGTCAGACGTCATAGCTTACTGGCCAGAAGGCTGTCTTAGTGGTCACCTCTGTGCAAAGGAACCTGGGAAATCAAGATTTTGTTTGCAGGAAGGGGTGTTGACCAGATTCATTGCCACTTTGAAAAAAATTACAGATTTGTTACCGGGGAAGAAGAGTAGAATGGAAGTTGGAGAAGCAACCAGCAGCGTGTACACAACTGCTGACCACGCTTCCCTTCCTGAAGTCCTCTCTCCCTTGCCTTTGCCAATGCCCTTCTATCCTGGTCTCCTTCCCATCTCCTTGGCCACTCATTTGTAGTCTACATTGTAAAACTTTGTATTTTATTAATTTTTAACAAAGCCCTTTGATGCTGATGGCTATGCTGATGGCTGGCTATGCTGATGACCCCTATATTTATCTCTTTAGCCTTGTCCTTTCCCCTCAATTTCAGATTTATAATATCTAATTGTCTGATAATATCTACTTGTCTGCTTGATATCTGTCTGTACGGCACACAGACATCTCAGTCTCAACACCGCCTAAAACTATGCTCATCAAGTTTCCTCCAGACCTGCTCTTTCTCCTTTGACCCCCTTATTCTTCCTATTTGCCCAACTGAGAAACTGTGGGATTGGCCTCTCTTCCTTTGTCTTTCTAACAACGTACATCAAGTAAATCAAGCAAATCATCATTGTCTTACCTCCTGATTTCCCCGATCTAGCTCCTCTTCTACCTGTGACCTGAGGCAAATCACTTTACCTCACTGGGTTTCAGTTTCCCATGAAACAAGGGCCTCGCATGGGGAGCTAGCTGAAGCCCACATTTTGGGTCTACTCTTCCGTGATTCTCTGACAGTCACTTCTACAGGGTTGAACAGTCGTAGTGCTGTGCAGATGCTCTGACAATAGTGCTGGAAACCTAGTTGGAGCCTAAAGAAGCAACATCGCTGAACAGAGACCTCCTCTAACTTGGACAAGCACCTAATTCCATTTGACTCAAGTCATGCAGTTCATCTGCTTAGGCATTAGATAAGACCCATGCATAAAGCTGCAGGAGACTTCAATTACTGTCTAATTATAAGCCTCATTCTCTCAAAGCAGTTCCTTCTTAGAGGTAATTTCAGATGGTCTTTGAACAGCAGGTATACTCGCCCAAGTCAGCAGCAAAAGTGGGTGGAGGTGGGAGACCTCACTCAGGGTTACAATATTCAGGGACAGAAAAGGCATTCTCAGTATTTAATTTCTTGCCTGTACAGGCTGATCGCACCAGGATTTTAATACCCTAAGCAGTTCTTGCAATGCTGTAAGCATACACAGCTATGTACAAAAGCTTTTCATCAGAAGAAAAAGCAAATTCAGGTTGTAATGAGGCTTTAACATGTAGGTGTTTGAGAAGGAAATGCAGAACCTTTTATTTCTGAAATTACTGAAATCACAGGAGGCTAGAATTTGAAGATATCTTATAGAATATCTACTCTACAACTCAATTACTTTCTTAAATATTTTTGTTTCATATCATGGATGTATTTATTTATTAATAAGTAGCAGACTGCCATAGAATCAGGTAAACTTTGTAGACTTTAAATACTATTTGGGTGAAACCAGTCATATAATATATGTAGTTATTTTTATTGTCATAGAAAGTGTTTGTTATTTTTTTGTTGTTACATACTTTCATAAAGTACCCTTATTTCTGGAAGTGAAAAAAAAGAATATCTACTGTAACACCTTTAATCATACAGATGAAATGTAGAAGGGTTGCAATCATTCAATACTGTTGTTGTTGTCCAGCCACCAAGTCATGTCCGACTCTTTGCAGCCCCATGGGCTGCAGCACACTAGGTTTCTCTGTCCCTCACCATCTCCCAGAGTTTGCCCAAGTTCATGTCTATTGAATTGGTGTTGCCATCCAACCGTTTTATCCTCTGTCACCCTCTTCTTCTTCTGCCTTCAGTCTTTCTCAGCATCAGGGTCTTTTCCAATGAGTTGGTTGTTTGCATCAGGTGGCCAAATTATTGGAGCTTCAGCTTCAGCACCAGTCCTTCCAATGAATATTCAGGGTTGATTTCCTTTAGAATTGACTGGTTTGATCTCCTTGCAGTCCAAGGAACTCTCAAGAATCTCCTCCAACACCACAGTTCAAAAGCATCAATTTTTCACTACTACTTGAGTATTTATTATGTGCGTGGCACTGCGCTAGGTGCTGGGGATGTAAGTTAGTGAGATGTGGTCACTCACATTCACAGAGCAAGATGTGTGTATAGATTATGCTGTGGTAACAAGACTTTCAGATCTCAAAGCCTGTACAGCCATCCTGCTTGTCTATTGTGGATCAGCTGCAGCCTTGCTCCTTTTATTCTTGCATGGGGCCTCTTACTTGTTAGAGACAGACCTGGTTGGAGG